GGGGGGGTTTGATCCCCATTCCCGGGGGTTTGATCCCCATTCCCGGGGGGGGTTTGATCCCCATTCCCGGGGGTTTGATCCCCATTCCCGGGGGGTTTGATCCCAAAATTGGGATTTGTTCCAGCCCCGTTTGCGTCTCCCGATCCCGCTGCGGGATCTGGGAATTCCCAAATTCCCGGGATGTGATCCCAAATTCCCGGGATGTAATCCCAAATTCTCGGGATTTGCTCCCACTGCAGCCCCATTCAACATCCCCGGAATTCTGAAATTCCCGGGATATGATCCCAAATTCCCAGGATTTGCTCCCATCCAGCCCCCTTCGCCACCTCAGGAATTCTGAAATTCCCGGGATATGATCCCAAATTCCCAGGATTTGCTCTCATCCAGCCCCCTTCGCCACCTCAGGAACTCAGGAATTCCCAAATTCCCGGGATTTGCGCCCGGTCCATCCCCGTTCGCTGCTACCGGCCCCGGGAATTCCCGCTTCCATCCCCACCCGAGCCCTTTTATTCCCATTTTTTCCCCATTTTTCCATGAATTCCGCCCCGTTCTGGCTCCTGCAGCGGCCTCGCCTCACCTGGAACACACCCAGCGACTTGGGCAGCGATTCCCAAAATATTCCAGGAAAATTCCCACCCCGAGGCACCCAAAGCCCTTAATTGGGCTGTTATGCTAATGAGGAGCCGCTAATTAGGGCTGAAATTCCTCTGGGGAATGAGGGCAGCCAGGAACAGCAGGAACGGATCCAATTCCCGTTTTTTTCCCATTTTTCTCCCACTTTTCCACATTTTTTTTTCATTTTTCCACATTTTTCTCTTGCTTTTCCCCATTTTCCCCCATTTTTTCCTGTTCTTTCCCATTTCCCCCTTTCTTCTTATTTTTTGCCCTATTTTTCCACATTCTTTCTCAATTATTCCCGTTTCCCCCATTTTTCCCGGTTTTTCCCCATTTTTTCCCATTGTCCCCAGTTTTTTTTCACATTTTTTCTTTTTTTCCTCATTTTTTCCCATTCTTTCCCATTTCCCCCCATTTTTCCCAATTCTTTCTCAATTTTCTCCCATTTTTCTCCCATTTTTTCCCAATTTTTCCCAATTTTCTCCCATTTTTCTCCCATTCTTTCCATTTTCCCCTGGTTTTCCCCATCTTTTCCCATTCTTTCCCAATTTTTCCAATTATTTCCCAATTTTCCCCAATCTTTCCCGCCTTTCCCCGATTTCCCCCCAAATTCTCAGCAGGATTTTCCCTTTCCTGACGATCCCCAAATCCCCAGGGTTGGGAATTCTTCCCGGCTTGGATGGAAATTTGGGATTTGGGGCTCCTGGGGCCGATTCCCGGCGGATTTGGGGGGAATTTGGGGGATTTTGGGAGCCTAACCGGGATTTTCCTGTTTTTCAGGGTACGGAGATTGGAATTCGGGCTCGAGCAGAGGCAAGTGCGGAATTCCCTGCCCTGGATCCCCCTGGATCCATCCCTGGATCCCGGCCCGCGCCCTCGGGAAGCTCCCACCTCTCCTTTCCCAAGTTTTAGTCCCAAATTCCCACCGGATCCGACAAAAAATCGGCATTTTTGGAACGGGGAAACGGCTCCGAGTTCCAGATGAGGGGATTGCTGGGATCCCTTCGGCCATTCCGTGGGAGTGATCCCAAATTCCATGGGAATGACCCCAAATTCCATGGGAGTGATCCCAAATTCCATGGGAATGACCCCAAATCCTGTGGGAATGACCCCAAATCCTGTGGGAATGACCCCAAATTCCATGGGAGTGATCCCAAATTCCATGGGAATGACCCCAAATTCCATGGGAATGACCCCAAATTCCATGGAAATGATCTCAGATTCCGTGGGAATGACCCCAAATTCCATGGGAGTGATCCCAAATTCCATGGGAATTACCCCAAATTCCATGGGAGTGGTCCCAAATTCCATGGGAATGACCCCAAATTCCATGGGAGTGATCCCAAATTCCATGGGAATTACCCCAAATTCCATGGAAATGATCTCAGATTCCATGGGAATGACCCCAAATTCCATGGAAATGATCTCAGATTTCGTGGGAATGACCCCAAATTCCATGGGAGTGATCCCAAATTCCATGGAAATGACCCCAAATCCTGTGGGAATGACCCCAGATCTTGTGGGAATGACCCCAAATTTCGTGGGAATGACCCCAAATTCCATGGGAATGATCCCAAAATCCATAGGAACTAACTGGAAACGACCCCAAATTCCCAGTAAATCCCAAACTACCAGAAAATCCTGGGATTCTCTGGAATTCCTGGTAAATCCCAGATCTCTCCTGAATTCCCAGTGAATCCCAGTAAATCCCGATAATTCTTAGTGAATTCCAGAGCTCTCCAGAATTCCTGGTGAATCCCAAATTCCTGGTAAATCCCAGTAAATTCCAAATTCCTGGTAAATTCCTGTGAATCTCAAATTCCCAGTAAATTCCTGGTAAATCCCAAATTCCCAGTGAGTCCCGGTAGGGAATTTCCAGTGACTCCCAGTGAATCCAGTTAGGGAATTCCCAGTTAATCCCAGTAAATCTCGGTAGGGAATTCCCAGTGAATTCTGGTAGGGGATTCCTGGTGAGTCCCAGTAAATCCCGGTGAATCCCAAATTCCTGAATTCCCGGTGAATCCCAGTGAATTCCTGGTGAATCCCAGTAGGGAATTCCTGGTGAATCCTGAATTCCTGAATTCCTGGTGACTCCCAAATTCCTGAATTCCCAGTGACTCCTGGTGAATTCCTGGTGAATCCCAGTAGGGAATTCCCGTTGAATCCGGAATTCCGGAATTCCCGGTGAATCCCAGTGAATTCCTGGTGAATCCCAGTAGGGAATTCCTGGTGAATCTGGAATTCCTGAATTCCTGGTGACTCCCAAATTCCTGAATTCCTGGTGACTTCCATATTCCTGAATTCCCAGTGACTCCTGGTGAATTCCTGGTGAATCCCAGTAGGGAATTCCCAGTGAATCCGGAATTCCTGAATTCCCGGTGAATCCCAGTGAATTCCTGGTGAATCCCAGTAGGGAATTCCCGGTGAATCCCAGTGAATTCCTGGTGAATCCCAGTAGGGAATTCCCGGTGAATCCCAAATTCCTGAATTCCCAGTGAATCCCAATGAATTCCCGGTGAATCCCAGTGAATTCCCGGTGAATCCCAGTGAATTCCTGGTGACTCTGGGATTCCTGAATTCCCAGTGACTCCTGGTGAATTCCTGGTAATCCCAGTAGGGAATTCCCGGTGACTCCGGAGTTCCTGAATTCCCGGTGAATCCCAGTGAATTCCCGGTGAATCCCGGTGGGGAATTCCCAGTGACTCCCGAATTCCTGAATTCCCGGTGACTCCGGGATTCCCGAATTCCCGAATTCCCTCCGCCAGGCTACGAGGGCTATGGCTACGGCTACGGCTACGGCCAGGAGAGCTCCGGGGCCTTCGGCTTCGGCGCCGCCAATTCCTGGGATTTGGGCGGCTCCGAGCCCGACGCGGCCCCCGAGGGCGGCGCCGGCGCCGGGAAGCAGCGGCAGGAGCCGGGAGCCGGCGGCCGGAGCGAGCCCGAGGCGGGACCCGGGTACGGAGCTGCGCCCGACAGGTGGGAATTTGGGGATTTGGGAATTTGGGAATGGGGGAGCCGGCGGCCGGAGCGAGCCCGAGGCGGGACCCGGGTACGGAGCTGCGCCCGACAGGTGGGAATTTGGGGATTTGGGAATTTGGGGATTTGGGAATTTGGGAATTTGGGAATGGGAATCTGGGAATCTGGGAATTTGGGAATGGGGGAGCCGGCGGCCAGAGCGAGCCCGAGGCGGGACCCGGGTACGGAGCTGCGTCAGATAGGTGGGAATTTGGGAATTTGGGGATTTGGGAATTTGGGAATGGGGGAGCCGGCGGCCGGAGCGAGCCCGAGGCGGGACCCGGGTACGGAGCTGCGCCCGACAGGTGGGAATTTGGGAATCTGGGGATTTGGGAATGGGGATTGGAAATTTGGGAATGGGGGAGCCGGCGGCCAGAGCGAGCCCGAGGGGCCGCTGGGACTGGGATACAGAGCTGCGCCCGACTGGTGGGAATTTGGGAATTTGGGGATTTGGGAATGGGGATTGGGAATCTGGGAATTTGGGAATTTGGGAATGGGGATTGGGAATGGGAATTTGGGAATTTGGGAATGGGAATGGGGATTGGGAATGGGAATCTGGGAATTTGGGAATTTGGGATTGGGGGAGCCGGCGGCCAGAGCGAGGACGAGGGGCTGCCGGGACCCGGATACGGAGTTGCGCTGGACAGGTGGGGATTGGAAAGTTGGGAATTTGGGAATGTGGGATTGGGAATGTATGATTGGGAATTTGGGAATGTGGGATTGGGAATTTGGGAATGTGGGATTGGGAATGTGGGAGCCGGTGGCCAGAACGAGTCCGAGGGGCTGCCGGGATATGGAGCTGCACCGGAGACGTGGGAATGGGGGATTGGGAATGGCAATGGGGAATTTGGGAGTGGGGGATTGGGAATTTGGGAATTCCGGATTGGATTTGGAATGGGGGATTGGGAATGGGGAATTGGAAATGTGGGAATATGGGAATGTGGGAATGGAGGAATGTGAGAATGGGAATGTGGGATTGGGAATTGGGGATTGGGAATTGGGGATTGGGAATGGGAATGTGGGATTGGGAATTGGGGATTGGGAATGGGAACAGAAATGGGAGAATGGGAATGGGATTGGAATGGGAGCAGGAATGGGGGAGGAGAAGGTGCTCCCCAGCTCCCGGGACCCGTTTTTTGGGAGCAAAGGGAATCTCCATCCCGAATTTCCCCGTCAGGTACGATCCCTACGAATCCTACGGCGACTCCCGCGTGAACGACCGGGATCCGTACCGGGCTGCCTTCGACTATCCCGGCGATTATCCCGGCGATTATCCCAACGATTATCCCAACGATTATCCCGGCGATTATCCTGATTATCCCAACGATTATCCTGATTATCCCAACGATTATCCCAACGATTATCCCAACGATTATCCCAACGATTATCCCAACGATTATCCCGACTATCCCAACGATTATCCCGGCGAATCCGAGCCCGACGCCGGCGACTTCTACGGCCGGCCGCCGCCGCCGCGGGAGCAGCGATTCCCGGCCAAGTTCCGGGAAGGTTTCGGCGCGCGGGGCTGGGGCCGGGAGCGGCCGTTGCCGGCGTTGCCGGCGTTGCCGGGGCGCGGCGGCCGGGCCGGGCCGGGCCGGCGCCTCCCGTCGCTGCTGGCGCGCGGCGCCGGGCCCGAGGCGGGCGCCGGCCGCGCCTTCGGCGGCCGCGGCCTGAAGCGCCCGCGCCGGGGCGGCCGGGCCTGGGACGCCGAGCCGCGGGTGAGTCGCGGCTCTGCGGCGGCCGCCGCGCGCTCCGCTCTTCTCCCGACGCGCTTCCAGGAGTTTCCAGGAGTTTCCAGGAGTTTCCATGAGTTTCCATGGTTTTCCATGGGTTTCCATGAGTTTCCATGGTTTTTCCATGAGTTTCCATGGTTTTCCATGAGTTTTCATGAGTTTCCATGGTTTTTCCATGAGTTTCCATGGTTTTCTAAGAGTTTCCATGGTTTTTCCGTGAGTTTTCATGGTTTTTCCATGGTTTTTCATGGTTGTTCCGTGGTTTTTCATGGTTTTTCCATGGTTTTCCATGAGTTTCCATGGTTTTTCCATGGTTTTCATGCTTTTTCCATGGTTTTCCATGAGTTTTCATGGTTTTACCATGGTTCTCCATGAGTTTTCATGGGTTTTCCATGAGTTTTCATGGTTTTTCCATGGTTTTCCATGAGTTTTCATGGGTTTTCCATGAGTTTCCATTAGTTTCCATGCTTTTCCATGAGTTTCCATTAGTTTCCATGGTTTTTCCATGAGTTTTCATGGTCTTTCCATGGTTCTCCATGAGTTTTCATGGGTTTTCCATGAGTTTCCATGGTTCTCCATGAGTTTCCATGGTTTTCCATGAGTTTTCATGGTCTTTCCATGGTTCTCCATGAGTTTTCATGGTTTTTCCATGGTTTTTCATGGTTGTTCCGTGGTTTTTCATGGTTTTTCTGTGGTTTTTCCATGAGTTTTCATGGTTTTTCCATGGTTTTCAATGAGTTTCCATGCTTTTTCCATGAGTTTTCATGCTTTTTCCATGGTTTTCCATGAGTTTTCATGATTTTTCCATGAGTTTTCATGGTTTTTCCGTGAGTTTTCATGCTTTTTCCATGGTTCTCCATGAGTTTTCATGGGTTTTCCATGAGTTTTCATGCTTTTTCCATGGTTTTCCATGAGTTTTCATGGTTTTCAGTGGTTTTCCCATGATTTTCCATTATTTTTTCCTGGTTTTTCCATGGCTTTTCCGTGGTTTTTCCATGAGTTTTCCATGAGTTTCCATGGTTTTCCATGAGTTTCATGGTCTTTCCATGGTTTTTCTGTGTTTTTTTTCCATGTTTTTCCCATGATTTTCCATTATTTTCTCCTGGTTTTTCCATGGTTTTCCATTATTTTTCCATTGGTTTTCCATAATTTTTCCATGTGTTTCCCCCAACTTTCCCCCCATTTATCCCCCAGTTTCCTCTCAATTTTCCCCCATTTTTCCCCATTTCCCCCCATTTTTTTCCCAATTTTCTCTCCATTTCCCCCGATTTTTCCCAATTTTCTCCCAATTTTCTCTCAATTTCCCCGATTTTCCCCAGTTTTCTCTCAATTCCTCCGATTTCTCCCAATTTTCTCTCCATTTCCCCTGATTTTTCCCAATTTTCTCCCAATTTTCTCTCAATTTCCCCGATTTTCCCCAGTTTTCTCCCAATTTTTTCTCAGTTCCCCCAATTTCTCCCAATTTTCTTTCCATTTCCCCTGATTTCTCCCATTTTTCTCCCAATTTTCTCTCAGTTCCCCCGATTTTTCCCATTTTTCTCTCAATTTCCCCCGATTTATCCCAATTTTCTCTCCATTTCCCCTGATTTTTCCCATTTTTCTCCCAATTTTCTCTCCATTTCCCCCTGTTTTTCCCATTTTTTCCCAATTTTCTCCCATTTCCCCGTTTTTCCCAATTTTCTCCCAATTTTCTCTCAATTCCCCCGATTTCTCCCTATTTTCTCTCCATTTCCCCCTGTTTTTCCCAATTTTCTCCCAATTTTCTCTCCATTTCCCCTGATTTTTTCCCAATTTTCTCCCATTTCCCCTGATTTTTTCCCCAATTTTCTCTCCATTTCCCCTGATTTTTCCCCAATTTTCTCTCCATTTCCCCCGTTTTTCCCGATTTTTCCCAACTTTCCCGTTTTTCCGGCAGCCGCAGCGGAAGCGGCCGCGCCGGGAGGGGCCGGGCCGGCGGCGGCAGCCGGGGGAGGAACGGAACGAGAACGGCTCCGACAGCTCCGGCTCCGACAACGGTCAGCAATTCCCAGATCCCGCCTTTTACCGGGATCTGTTCCGAAAGAAACCCCTGGAATTCCCAGATCCCGCCTTTTACCGGGATCTGTTCCGATAGAAATCCCTGGAATTCCCAGATCCCGCCTTTTACTGGNAATTCCCAGATCCCGCCTTTTACCGGGATCTGTTCCGATAGAAATCCCTGGAATTCCCAGATCCCGCCTTTTACTGGGATCCGCTCCGAAAGAAATCCCAGCAATTCCCAAATCCCATCTTTTACTGGGATCTGTTCCGATAAAAATCCCTGGAATTGCCCAGATTCCCCAATTTCTGGGGATGAGTTCTGGAATTCCTGTTTAAAAATCCCGGGATTGACCCCAAATTCCACCTTTAGTGGGATCAGTTCTGGATAAAAATCCCAGGAATTGCCCAAATTCCATCTTTTATTGGGATCAGTTCCGGAATTCCTGTTCAAAGATCCTGGGATTGACCCCAAATTCCACATTTATTGGGATGAGTTCTGGTTAAAAATCCCAGGAATTGCCCAAATTCCCAATTTCTGGGGATGAATTCCAAAATTCCTGTTTAAAAATCCTGGGATTGACCCCAAATTCCCAATTTTTGGGGTTGAATTTTGGATTTCCAGGTTAAAATTCCCAGGACTTATCCCAAATTCCCAAATTTTTGGGGTTTTGTTGGTTCCAGAGGAAGGCACGGAAGGAGAATCCGGAGAAAAGGAGGAATCCAGAGGGGTGAGTGAGGGAAATTCGGGAATTTTGGGATCTGGGGGAGGGAAATTCAGGAATTTTGGGATCTCGGGGAGGGAAATTCGGGAATTTTGGGATCTGAGGCAGGGAAATTCGGGAATTTGGGGATTTGGAAGAGGGAAATTCCAGGATTTTGGGATCTGAGCGTGGGAAATCCTGGAATTTTGGGGGAATTCCAGGAGGATTTTGCTGGGGGGACGGGCTGGAATTGGAATTTTCCACAGGAAATTTGGGAATTCCAGGGAATTCCAGCCTTTCCAATGAAATTCCCATCCCTGAGAGATTTCTTTGGGAAAATCCCCCAAAATTTTGGGATTCCCAAATCCATGGGAAATTCCTGAGGGAGAAAAATTCCCGGGATTTCATTCCAGGGGGTTTGAAATTCCCGAATTTTTGGGTTTTCAGGAAGGGGAAGATGAAGAGGGAAGAGATTCCGAGAAAGGTGAGTTGGGAATTCCAGGAAATTCCAGGAATTTGGGGAGGGAATTCCAGGAATTTGGGGTCAGGGGAGGATTTGGGGCTGTTTTTTTTGGGATTTTCCTTGGATTTCTTGGGATTTTGGATTCCCTGGGATTTTGGTTTGAATTCCCTGGGATTCGGGGCTGCATTTCTTGGGATTTTCCTTGGATTTCCTGGGATTTTTGGATTGATTTCTTGGGATTTTGGATTTCCTGGGATTCTGGGCTGGATTTTCTGGGATTTTGGGCCGATTTTTTTGGATTTTGGGTTGGATTTCCTGGAATTTTGGATTCCTGGGATAATGGGCTGATTTATTTGGATTTTGGATTGGTTTCTTGGGATTTTTGATTCCCTGGGATTCTGGTTTGGTTTCCCTGGGATTTTGGGCTGATTTTTTGGGATTTTGGGTTGGATTTCCTGTGATTTTGGATTCCCTGCAATTTTGGGCTGAGTTTTTGGAATTCTGGATTTCCTGGGATTTTGAATTTCCTGGGATTTTGGGCTGATTTTTTGGGATTTTAGGTTGGATTTTCTGGGATTTTGGGCTGATTTTTTGGGATTTTAGGTTGGATTTCTGGGATTTGGGGCTGGATCCCCTCCGAGCTTCCCGGAATTCCCGGCATTCCCGGCATTCCCGTTTTCCAGGTGCCCTGGGCCATCCCGAGGAGAATTCCCAGATTTCCCAGCGGCTCCCGGCCGGGAGGAAATCCCAGGATCGGCAGAAGAAGCGGCACCGGGACCGGATGGTGGAGAGGTACCCTGGGATTCCGGGAATTTCCCCTTTTGCTGGGAATATTTCCCTTTTTTTGGGAACATTTCCCATTTTTTAGAGCTTTTCCATTTTTAAATGGATTTTTTCGTTAATCCCACGTTTCCGTTATTCCCGTGTTTCCCGTTATTCCCATTACTCCCGTTATTCCCGTGTTTCCCATTCCCGTTATTCCCATTACTCCCGTTATTCCCGTGTTTCCCATTCCCGCCACTCCCGCCATTCCCGTGTTTCCCATTCCCTGATTCCCGTGTTTCCCGTGTTTCTCATTCCTGTTTCCCGCCATTCCCATTATTCCCATGTTTCCCATTCCCATTATTCCCGTGTTTCCCGTATTTCCCATTCCCTTTATTCCCGTTATTCCCGTGTTTCCCGTGTTTCTCATTCCCGCCATTCCCGCCATTCCTGTGTTTCCCATTCCCGTTATTCCTGTTATTCCCGTGTTTCCCGTGTTTCCCATTCCCTGATTCCCGTTATTCCCATGTTTCCCGTGTTTCCCTTTCCTGTTATTCCCGTGTTTCCCGTGTTTCCCATTCCCTGATTCCCGCCATTTTCGCCATTCCCGTGTTTCCCATTCCCTGATTCCCGTGTTTCCCGTGTTTCCCATTCCCTGATTCCCGTTATTCCCGTGTTTCCTGTGTTTCCCGTGTTTCCCGTATTTCCCGTTCCTGTCATTCCCTGATTCCCTGATTCCCGCCATTCCCGCGTTTCCCATTCCCTGATTCCCTCCATTCCCGTGTTTCCTGTGTTTCCCATTCCCTGATTCCCTGATTCCCTGATTCCCGCCGTTCCCTGATTCCCTGATTCCCTGATTCCCTGATTCCGTGATTCCCGTCATTCCCTGATTCCCTGATTCCCTGATTCCGTGATTCCCGTCATTCCCTGATTCCCTGATTCCCTGATTCCCTGATTCCCGCCATTCCCTGATTCCCTGATTCCCTGATTCCCTGATTCCCTGATTCCCGCCGTTCCCTGATTCCCTGATTCCCTGATTCCCTGATTCCCGCCGTTCCCTGATTCCCTGATTCCCTGATTCCCTGATTCCCTGATTCCCGCCATTCCCTGATTCCCGGTTTTTCCAGGATCCAGTTCGTCTGCTCCCTGTGCAAGTTCCGGACGTTTTTCGAGGACGAGATCCGGCAGCACCTGGAGAGCAAATTCCACCGGGAGCATTTCCAGTTCGTGGGCACGCGGCTGCCGGCGCAGACGGCGCGCTTCCTGCAGGTGCCTTCGGCCTCATCCTCATCCTCCTCCTCCTCATCTTCATCATCCTCATCATCTTCATCCTCCTCCTCCTCCTTTCCTGTTCCTGCTTTTCCTGCTTTTCCTCTCCCCTTTTCCCATTTCCAGTTCGTGGGCACGCGGCTGCCGGCGCAGACGGCGCGCTTCCTGCAGGTGCCTTCGGCCTCGTCCTCATCCTCCTCATCCTCCTCATCCTCTTCCTCCTCCTCCTCCTTTCCTGTTCCTGCTTTTCCTGCTCTTCCTCTCCCTTTTCCCATTTCCAGTCGGTGCTGCCCCAGCGGACGGCGCACTTCCTGCAGGTGCCTTCGGCCTCATCTTCCTCCTCCTCCTCTTCCTCCTCCTCCTCCTCTTCCTCCTCCTCCTCTTCCTCCTCCTCCTCCTCTTCCTCCTCCTCCTCCTCTTCCTCCTCCTCCTCCTCCTCCTCCTCCTCC